TTGAGGACTGGCGGGAGGGCAGAGCCCAGAGGGTGGTGATAAATGGGGCCGAGCCTGGTTGGAGGCCTGTGGCCAGTGATGTCCCATAAGGGTCAATACTGGGCCCAGTGCTGTTAAACTTGTTCATCAGCGACTTGGACGAGGGCACAGACTGTACCTTCAGCAAGTTTGCGGATGACACCAAAACGGGAGGAGTGGCCGACACTCCCGAGGGCTGTGCTGCCATTCAGAGGGACCTAGATAGGATGGAGAGTTGGGCAGAGAGGAACCTCCTGAGATTCAACAAGGACAAGTGCAGGGTCCTGCACCTGGGGAGGAATAACCCTCGGCACCAGGACAGATTAGGGGTTGACCTGCTGGAAAGCAGCTCCGCGGAGAGTGATTTGGGAGTCCTGGTTGACAACAGGTTAACCATGAGGCAGCAATGTGCCCTCATGGCCAAGAAGGCCAATGGGATCCTGGCCTGCATCAGGAGTGTTGCCAGCAGGTCAATGGAGGGGAGACTGTCCCTCCTGTCCCTACACTCCGCTCGGGGCTTGAAGTATTGAGTGCAGTTCTGGGCTCCCCAGTACAAGAGGGACATTGAGCTTCTAGAGAGGCTCCAGTGTAGAGCCACAAAGATGATTAACGGACTGGAGTATCTATCCTATGAGGAAAGACTAAGCGAGCTGGGCCTATTTAGTCTGGAGGACAGAAGACTGAGAGGAGATTTGACCAACATGTTCAAGTACCTCAGAGGTGATTGTAGGCAGGATGGGGCCAGGATCCTCTCCGCGGTGGCCAGTGACAGGATGAGGGGTAACGGGTGTAAGTTGAAACACAGGAAGTTCCACCTCCATATGAGGAAGAACTTCTTTCCTGTGAGGGTGACAGAGCCCTGGAACAGGCTGCCCAGGGCGGCTGTGGAGTCTCCTTCTCTGAAGATCTTCCAAACCTGCCTGGATGCCACCCTGTGCCACGTGCTGTAGGTGTCCCTGCTGGAGCAGAGGGGTTGGACTAGATGGTCTCTAGAGGTCCCTTCCAATCTTAACCATTCTGTGATTCTGTGTAAACTGCTGTCCGGAGGTCTACAACACAAGCCCTGCATTATTTACCTATGCACTTAATTTATTTACCTCTGACTGAAAAAAATATATAGAAAATAATAATTTTATATGGACCTCATGTGGGCCACGGGCTCAGAGAAGACCCAGCGCCAAGAACCAAGGGCAGACACAGCATCCCTCACCAGAATGCATGCAGGTTAGATGCTGCCATGTGGCCTCCAGAGCAGCAATATCCCTGAGCTCGTTTTATTTAGCAGTATAGACTGTAAGTATCCTGAAACACTTCACAGAAAAAAAATGCAATGATTAAATGAAAGAAAAGACATCAAAGAAGGAGTATATGGGGGACATAACAAAGCATTTCAAAGTATGTCTCATTATCAAGGGGAAAAAAAAAGAGTGATGTTCTTAAATCCAGGCAGGTCAAGAAGTAGGATATTTATGAGGGGGCATTATGGAAACAAGGCCACAACGCTCTCGAAAGTCATGTGATAAAAAATCTTTCTTCCATACTCCCCATAAGTGCATTAGCAGCCCGAAGGCATCATGCTGGAGTAACAGCAGGTACACTAGGACACGGCAGACACATCGAGGCCAGGTGAACTCACTGGTGGGCTGCCAGTTGGATGCTTCTGAATATGCCACCCTGAAATGGGAACACATTGGGCAGATTATTTAAAGGACCTGGGCATGATGCCCAGGAATATATTAAAATTATAAGCACAAGCGATGAGGTAGGAAGGGGTTATGCTGACAAGACAGAAATGGCTGAAAACAAGCACAGATGAACATCGCAAATGAATGTGTAATGGCAGTTGACTATATATATGAAAGACAAGAAAGTAGCCTGGCTGAAGTTTAGCTCAAATAACAAACTAAATGGGCAATAGAGTCTCCTTCTCTGGAGATCTTCCAAACCTGCCTGGATGCCACCCTGTCCATGTGCTCTAGGTGTCCCTGCTGGAGCAGGGGGGTTGGACTTGATGATCTCTAGAGGTCCCTTCCAATCTCAACCATTCGGTGATTCGGTGATTCTGTGAATACATTGCTAGTGAGATTATGGCATTAGGAGGATACCAAAATCATCATAGCTAGATATGGAACCTGGAACACTGCTATTATTATTACTTATTACTATTATTACTACTTGTTAGCAAAATAGTGTTATTACTACTAGCACTATAGAAATACTACTGATGAAACAACGACAAATTAAAGCTTGCTTGCCACAGGAAAACTGAGAGAAGCAGCAGAAATTTGAGGGACAGATGATTTGTATCAGCTGTATCAAAGTCCAGGGACAGGGCAGGGAGAACAGCCTGGAATGAATGTGGTTTGCAGCCAGAGTCCAAAGTCGAACAGCCACATTACGAATGGATCTCGCAGCTCGGCTGGAAAAGAGTAAAAAATGATGGGAACACAAAGGTGACAGCACTGAGCACTGCTAGAATTATGGATTAGAGACAGGGAAGAATTGCATTGACGAAGTAACGTCAATGCTTGAAAATGTTACGGACAAAAATAGTTACTCCTAATGAACCATGCTAGAAGACCAAAAAGAGAGAGTTCTGCAGTGGAGCTTTTTTTTTTTTTTTTTCAATTTGACAGGCATGTGTAATTGCGAAGTGAAAACAGGACCTATTAGAGAAAGGAAGTGAGATTTTGAGCACAGACAGCATGTTCAGTATTACCAGATATCTGTTGTTCTTTCTAATCTTGTGAACAAGCCTAAGCTAGACTTTATTTTAAAATGAAGAAGCAACATCCCTGAGTCTTGCTGAAACATCGAGAAATACTTTAAAAGATGATGCTGCCATGGTTGAAGTTTGGGCAGCATTACCATCTTTCTTCCTCCGGGCTCTTCGTGGCTTAGGGAAAAAATGCTAACTGTAATGCTTGTGGTTTTTGAATACATCAACATCATCAGACTTTCTGGATTATTATTTTTCCATGGGTCTAGGTTTTTTTTTTTTCTTCTTCTTCTTCAGATCTACCTCTGCAACACCAAAGTCATGTTCCTCCTCATCCAAAAGCAATTAAATTGAGAGCTAAGAGCCCAGAGGCCACTTCTGTCAGAGCAACATACCTCTCAGCAGGCCAAGCCGTTATCTCAGATGGCCACTCTCACCTAAACTGGCCGGTTTTCCCTTGAAGCAAAAAGAGAAACCCCATCCACCGCTCAAGTTTAGGTTCTCCCCAGGGCACCTGCGGCGAGGATGAGGAGGGCGGGCCTTCCTCCCGCTCCTTCCCGCCGCTCCCTTCCTCCTAGCAAGCTCTGGGGA